ACTTGACCGAGGATTTTCAAAATTCTCGGCCACTTTGCAACCACCCCCGTTGGTGTGAGTTTTTCACGGAATCGCGGGGCCTTCGGACACCGTCGGCGGCAAACCGGAGTAGAAAATACTGAAAAAAGGGCTTCCAACTGCGACAGGACGAGAGAATAACAACAACTGTTTCCGTACTATGTGTACGTGAGTGTGTTGTTGATCGACTTATTTCAACACTCTCGTCTGCGAACGCGTACGAGAACCGACTCGGGCCCCGAACAGTCCGGGTGCTAATGCCAGTTCTGTCCACGCTGTCCACGCCGGTTGTAGCGCTAGCGTCGCGAGACTAGGTCCACGTCAGAGGGTTCGTTCGTCGTCGGTCTCGTCGCTGGCTCCCGCTATCCGGCAGTCGCGTCACCGATAATAACGAGATAGTGTAAAAATCTGTAACACGTCGAATCGCCATTCTTTTTAACGACTGCTATCGTGTCCGTCGTGCACAGGTCGAATATGTTAACGGGAGAATCGCGTTTGTCGCGTCCGCCTCTCGGTCTGAACTATGCACTTTGCGAGAACTACCCAACTCTTCTCCTATTGGTCGAATCAAACAAAACAGGCCACGCCCACTTTTCTACCACGTAAAACGACATATTGTGTTTAATACCGTCAGTTTACCGATCGGGCTATATAATTCTATCTCGATCAAAGGAAATTGCCGCCGCCCAGAAATTCACTCTCTCTTAGTGTGTTGTTTCATTTTTTTTTTATTCTAGAAATTCATTTCTTTGTTATTATCATTTTTATTTTCATTTTCATTTTCGTTTTCGTTTTCATTTTTATTTCATTCCATTTACTTTTTTACTACAATTTTACTGAAAATCATGATACACGGTGTCTCGTCGAACGTCGTCGTCCCCCTCCTCCTCGTCACACACGTGCAGTGCTAGTTCACGCCGTGTGGAGCGCTAGTAGCGCAGCGCGAGGTCCACGTCGCGTCGCCACGACGAGGCTGCAGCCCGGCTCAGGCTCACCTCGTTCCCGGCCGGCGGCGCAGTTTAGTAACAGTGGTGACACGCGCAATCGGCACTCTTGCCGACTGGTGTTCCAATAAGATACGTCCACTGTGACGGGTCCCGTTTGTCTAGATTGTTGTATATTTCGTAACATCGTGTTTTACGTGTGGACATTCGTGTCAGTTGGCTCTCGCCGGCTCTAACTGAGTCCAGTACTAGTGGGTCGCTCGGGTTTCGTCACGCGCTCCACTCTGGTTTCCCTTCAAAACGAATAAATCTTTCGCCTTTTACTAAAGATTTCCGTGGAGGGGAACACACGATGAGTCTATAAACAAATTTTTAATTAGCGCCCGATCCTTATGGGATTGGGCCACTCGAGTACATTATTGAATATTGATTGATTATCACCTCACTGAGCACGAATATACTGTCGTGTAAAAACCTATGACACGCTTGTATTCAATTCAATTGAAGATTGATATTATAAGTTGTTTATTTCATTTATTTTTTTTTTTTTACCACTCTGAACGTCCACCTCTCGACCAGTACCCTAAGGTAAAGGCTGAACGATCATCGATGACGTGCTCCCGTGCCGCTAGGGCCCGGGACCTCGTCTGCCTCACGCTCAGAGAGATGGACCGTAACTCTTCATCGTGGCTGGTATCCACTTCCGTAATGGAGTGTATAAATGAAGATCTTACTACAGAAATGATCCTGTGAAGTATGATCTTGACACGACGTCGGTCACGACCGACGGTCCAGCCGAATTCGATCGTACACAACCCTGTGAGAATCAATATATAAACACTATCGACAGACAATCTCGCGCCGGACTCGGACCTCAGTAAAGACGCTGTTCTGCAAGGAGCTCAGTCACAGTCTAAGCGAAATAAGTCGCAAACAGCACGCGACCGTTTGCCGATCGGTTTCTATAGCGTGGTTTCACCTCGTCTCCGCGCCGGCGCAGCCAGTGACCGACGACGTGTCCGAGCCAGCCACTGTTGGTCTGGACGACGTGGACGGTTTCGCTCGGTGTTTACACGTTGCCCAGAGGTTTTTCTTTTTGAAACCTCGGGATTCGTTTACCGTTAACCGTTTTCAAGACGACGACACGATTTTGGCGACATAAATTTACAATTACCGACACCGTTACAGCTGTAGTGTGGATCGGTTCTCGCACTGATACCCGCTACACGCCAGAGCCGGGTGCCCATTTCGTCGCTCTCGCACTCATACTTACCTGGCGTAGGGGTTACCGTGATCAAGAAGGCGGTTCCCCCAGGATGAGGCCCTTCCATTGCACTACGGTCGGGCTGACTCCTGCGAATGCCCCAAATGTGGGTATCTCGGGCGCGTAATTTTTGGTAGCGGGGACTGCGTTCGCGCTGTCCCTAATAATACACATTCAACTCCAATGGGGTGTATAGTGAGTAGGTAGAGAAAGTCATTCGTTATTTTATACAAACAACAGCGGTAGTGTACGTAAATAAATGATATTTTTGTTAACAATCGTTGAATAAGAATAACGTAGCGCAATAACCTGTAAACAAAAAAGAAACGGACTAAATTTTTCATAATATTAAATCGTGCAATACGTTATATTATTCAATGTTGATTGTTATTTACTTTTTTAACAGTCGATGAATTTCGTAGCGCAAAACTGACTAGGATCCTACCACGGATCTGGCGAATCCACTAATTTTCGAGTTTTTATCCATTTTGATTTATAAAACTGATAATGTATTGCTGATTGCTCTGTCAGTTAGAATAATGATGGTTCACTCAGGATGGTGACAGGTACTTCCAGCACTCGCCAACGGCCATACCACGTTGAATATACCGGTTCTCGTCCGATCACCGAAGTCAAGCAACGTCGGGCGTGGTTAGTACTTGGATGGGTGACCGCTTGGGAACACCACGTGCTGTTGGCATTTTTTTCATTTTGTACTTTTCACTATATTTAAAATTTCCTCTTGTTTATTTTTTGTTATTTCCAAAGGTCTTCTTTTCACTATATTTTTATTTTCTTATTGCTAATTTTTTGTTATTTCCAATAGTTTTCACCGTTTACTGTGACACACTTGTATTCACATTAGGCATACATTTATTTTTATTTATTTGGAATACTCGGTATGTTGTGTACAGCAAACAATACTGTAGTCTATTAACGAACTAGTGTTGACTTAATAACAACGGTAACATGAACGACCCGTCGTGTCGTCTCGTCAGCGGTCGCTCGAACGTCGATAATAATTTATTCGGTCTACATTTTTACAATGCAGTACTTAGAATCAATTAATTGATGCGTGTCAATATCTCTGTACTACTTATTATTAGTTGAACGTACGATATGGTATTATGGTGGGCCGGTCCCGGCGGTACTGCAATGCCGGGTCAACCCGTGACAGAGGTGGAGCAAGCTCCTAGCACTCCGTCGATTTCCAAAAATCAGTTTAACAAACTGGTCCCTCGATGAGGGACGTATCAGATGTTAAGCTGATAAGAACAGATTGACAACTTTTTATTGAACATTTTTAAATATTACATCAAGCAAACCCTTTACATTTCATGCCAAAAAAGGTGGAATCTTCCATGCAATAAATATCGTCCACATGCTCTTTTGAGCTTCACTTTTATAAAATTTAACATGCATATCAAAAATGTAGATCAAAATTGCAGTCCACCATCAAATCCTATGATTCACATGCTGAGTCACTTCTTAACTAGTCAATCAAACTTAACATTAACCTGAGTACTGGCACCCTAATATTGAAATTTGAACGCAACAACTCCCCCAGGGGAACGGCCCAGGCTTGCTGTACATTGGACGCCACTCCATCTTAAATCTATCATTGAGCTTCAAAAAAATGTTTAACAATTCTGGAAATTAAATTTCCCTAATTAAAACTACTACAAATAAATAACTAACAAAGGTACAGCAAGCCACTTAGAAATTAAATAACAATAATAGAACTTTTAAATTTAACAATGCACAGAAATAAATTATGAACTTTTAACACTTCACTACACTTTTTTTTTCACAAAACACATCACATGTATCACAAAATTAACAATTCTTAACAAAAACAACGGGCCATGCGTTCGATACCACTGATGGGGGTTCCCTACCATTGCCGATGGCCTGTGATATGAGTCACGTAGATGTTTCGTGACCACATGATCACATCAGAGACCATCTGGCGTCTAATGGCCTGGGCACAGCGCGAGGAGATGTTCAACAGTTTTAACACTCGCTCGTTCGCCATGTCCCAGGATCCCAAGGAACCCACGATGAACCCATCCAGGGTGACAGAGTATCCCTTGAGGCGAAGTTCATCAGCTAGCTGACGGTATTTCTCAATTTTGAGTCGTCTCGCGTCAGCTAGCGCCCCGTACCTGTTTTCGAACGGGATAGCCACATCCACCAAGTGGATGCGCTTTTCCCGCTCGTTCGTGACGACCAGGTCGGGCCTCAAGGTACTCTCGACACCGGGAACGGTCAGGTCAACCCTGGTGGTTCCGGTCCTTTCCGGGATTGATTCGGCTAAGCGATGGAGTACTGCATCATGGCGCTTTCTCCAGCCCTCACTGGTCGGCTGGCAGTGGTTCAGCACGTGAGGCAGAGTTTCTGCCTGCTCACCACAGCGCCTGCACCTCCTATCGCCTTCGCCCCAACGCCTGCAACCGTTCAGAGGGACGGTGCCGAGGCGAGCCTTAAAAATAAAGCGCCAATCGGCAAATCGAGTGAACTTGCCGGCCTGGATGAAATGATTTGAATCACGGCATCGGCAAGCCACGTCGAAAACCTTCCCCTGATCAGGCTTCCTAGTTAGTGTCTTCTTCAACTTGAGCCTCATGGCAGTCTTCAGTCTTGAAAATAGATGGCCCCTTGCTTCTTCTGGGACAATGACTGGACCGGAAGTGCCGTCAGGCGAGGGAATTCGAATTTGGAACTCCTCCCTGGCATGGTCAAACTTCCAGTAGACTCCGATTTTCTTTTGGAGC